CCCTCCTCTCACCTTCTCTTCCCTCTATTCATCTTGCAAAATTTGGATCACACTATATAGGTTTGTATTCTATATTCTCCATATGCCATTCATTCATTTACTCACTCATTCAGCAGGCCTTTATCTACTGAGAGCTTGAGAGGCACCAGGGCACTGTTCTTTGGGGTGTAGTTGTGAACAAAACTGATACCAGTCTCTGCCCTTGGGAAGCTTACATTTTGGGGGTGGTGGCAATGGGGTGACAGACAATAAAATAAGTGAACAAAATAAGTAATGTGTTAGAAGATGATAAGAAGTAGGTAGGAAAATGAAGTAGAAGGAAATAGCAAGTGGTGGAGTGATCTGGGTGCAATTTTAAATGGGAAAGATCTCACCAAGTAGGGGATGTCTGAGTCCAGACCGGCAGGGCAATATTCTATCCTAAAATACTCCATTTTCAATACCCGGTCTCTAGGTGCTTAGAATGACTTTCTCAAGCGCACAAAAAATCTAGACAAAATTCTTGTATCAGCCGTATTAATAATGCAACAAATAAGAAGAAAAATGCAAAGAAAAGTGCTAAAAGCTTATGACCAAATCCTGGGCCTTTCCCTTGGGCTGATCAGAGTGTATCTACAGCAGAACAGAAAGTGAGTCTGGGGAAGGCAGGGTGGGTTGGGGGTGACATTGCAGGTACTTGCTCATCACAGCAATGCCAATGTGGTAGCTGTCTCATGCTGTATTATAGGAGCAAAAAAAAAATCCCATCAGAACAGCTCTATTTTGGACATTGGCTTTGGTCCGTTCACACTGAACTCTGTCAAAGGTCATAATTATCGCTAACATTTGCCCTGGGCTTTTCAGTTTCCCAAGTCCTGGTGTTTTCAGAGTTCCTGATACAGTATGAGGCAGTAAAGTAAAGAAAGGGCAGTGGGAGTTTTCTATTTATATAAAATTTCAAAGTTTGAAGGAATCTAGAGTCTATCTGGCCCAGCTTCCCTCTAAGTTAAGGACTGAGTCTCAGAAAGGTGAAGAGATTGCAAAGGTCACTCAGCTCAGGTTGGAAAACTAGACTCTTAGTCCAGTGTTCCATCCACAGCAGCGGGTGTCTCACACAGGGTGACGTGATTACAGCATCATTCCCTTCCAGCTGCCATGGAAGGGCTGGCTTTTCCCATGTGGAATTCCAAACAGTAAAGCTTGTTCTGCAGTCAGCCACTGGTACCAGGTTTCTCAAAGTGAGACCAAATCTGTCTTGCCTGCTCTCAGAGCAGTAACTTCCTCACCTGCCTCAGGACCGGTGTGGGATCTGTCTAGGGATGGGCAGGTGGCTGGTGTCAGCCTCAAGGCTCTTTCTCAGGCACTGTCACTCTTTGAGTGTGGGTCTCAGGAAGTAACCTGGTGCTGGTACCCCTGTGCCCATTAGCCGACCCCTCCTGAAGCCCTGAATATGGACTTTGTCTGGCGGGCTCCCCTCTGCTCCGAATGGACTAAAGCCAGTCATTTGGCAAAAATCAGCTCAGTTGCCACCATTGTCTTTCCAGAGGCAGAGCTGAATGGGCCCTGGGACTAATGTATTCTATTATGCCCCTCAGGCCAGCCTCGGCCTGGGGCCTGGCCTCGCAGGCTTGGGGAGAGGGCTGCATTCCGCAGGCCTCCCTCCCCCAGCTCTGCACTCTCCAGCCCTGCCCACCCTGGGCCCCAAGAGGGAGCTGCCCAGCCAGCCCATGGGCCAATGGGTGTCTCACCTCCCAGGAAGACGCCTTGAAAATCAGCTATGGGGAAGTCACCCTGTCTGGAATGGAACCCTTGGGTGGAAGGAAGGGTGTTGAGAGTGGCTGAGAGTCCAGTGAGAGAGCCAGGAATGGACATGGAGAGGCGGCCTTGGCTGCTGCGAGGAGCAGGAGTCAGTGGGGAATTCTGGGGAAGCGGGCACATCGTCCCTGCCCTGCTCCCTCGCACCTCCACACTGCCAGTCTGCAGGACGCATTCACTGATCGCGCAGTGTGTCTGCCGCCCCTTCTCCCCTGTGACCCATTTCCCACCAGGAACGTTCCTCCTCCAGAGGACAGGAAGGGTCACGGGTTTGATTTGAGCAGCCTGCAGACCTCTCGCTCCAGGGTCAGTTATGCCTGCACGGAGAGAAATATGATGTGTGAAAGATAAGGGGAGAGGGGCTTGGAGACGGGGAGCCTGGGCTCACACATTTATCACATGTGCCCTTTTAAGCACAAAGGAGAGGTTTGTGAGAGTCTTGGGTCACTATCTCTGGTTCTTGTGTTTGACAAAGCTAGGCTTCCATCCACTAGGAAGAAGGGAAGGCAGGATGTGCGTGTGTGTGTGTGTGTGTGTGTGTGTGTGTGTGTGTGTCTGTGTGTGTCTTTGGTGTCTTTCCCAACGAGACAGAGGTTTGGAAGTGTGAGTTCCTGGCCCCAGGGCTTGGTGAGCTCACACTGCAGAGGCTTCTTTCCCTTTTGGATTTAACATGGCCTGTTCCCCACCCCCCCCCTTTATTGATTACAAGTATACTTATTCTCATTGACGACTGCACCAACTTTGGGAGAGCTATCAGAAGGCTGAGAGCCTCCTTCTTAGGACAGTTTGGGCGAGGCGGGGTGGACAAAGTGATGGGAGACAGAGAGAATGCCTCTCAATCCGACAGGCTTTTTAGGCCTGAGGAGTGCGGGATCTCTGTGTGCCTGATGCCGGGTGGGAGTGAGGTGGGGTCCTGGTGGGCTTGTTCTGGGGCTGTGCGCCTAGCCTGTCTGTTGGTTTCTCTGAGTTGCTGGATGGTGGGTGGGCAGATGAATGCTTCAAGATGATCCACAGTGTCCTGGCTAACTGTAAGATCTCAGCCCACGCCTGCACTCTCCCCAGCCCTTTGCTCTGTGCACACTACTCCCCGGGTCCCCTTTGATGCGTATCTCTCTTCCCCTGCTCTATGGTTTTAGGATTTTGGGGATCTGCCTGAGATGTCCTCTCTTTCCCACATGGCCCAGCCCAGACACAGGCTATGACAAGAGGGGATGGAATTAAATTACAACCTGAAATTCCCCCTAACCTTGAGGAGGCAATGTCCTTGGGGTGGGGATGGAAATAAAACCGAAAGTCAGGGAATCTGTGTGAGTTGAAACATGAGGGAGGCAGAGCATTATATTCTCCAGGAAGAATATTTTATTCTCCTGTCAAGGCGCCAAGGACAATGGCAATAAAAGAAAACATACGCGATGGCGGTAAGGGTTACACGGCCCTTTAGGAAGCAGCCGGTTGTGTATTTATGGACCGAAATGGCTGGAAACCCCTTCACACGAGGAGTTAATGCAGAACTTGGAAAGCGCTCTAAGGCTGAGTGGCTGCACTCGGGAAGCTGTTATTTATGGAGCTTTATACTGTGTATTAAGCAATTTGCTGGTCTAGACTACACTTAAAAATAAAGAAAGAACAAAAGGGTTTGATGGACAAATTATGCTTTTCTTGGGGTGGGGGAGGCTTGTAACACTCTAAGTGTTAGAAGGATTTGAGAAAAGGCAATGTTTGTGTAATGACAGATATTAAATATGATAGAGTGTGAAACTCCTGGAAGGTTACAGAAGGCTCCAGATCTACAGCTGCTTATGTTACAGCGTGTGGGGAAGAGGGCAGGGTCTGTTGGCTCCTGGCTGCTGCAGGCAGCCTCAGAGGGGCCAAGGGGCAGGCTTCTCGCCGCCTACCCTTTGACTTGGTAACACTCCCACAGCACTGCTTCCTTAAGAAAAGAGTTGCTTGTCCACCGTTTCTGCCTGAGAACTTGATTTCATTGTTAAACGATTGTCTGAATGCCCTTGACATGGGCTACCTAATGAGCCTTTCTGACTCAGCTTCCACTTCTGTAAAGTGGGATGCTCAGTCGGGGGATACAGAGCAATGCAGGTGGACATGTGTGACCAATCCACTGACACGGAGAGGTAGGGTGTATCACAGCTACAGGCATCGAAGCAGAAGGAAGAGATTCAAGCTTCTAGGTACATGGAAGAGCTCCTTAGGCTGTTGCTTCTTGGAATCTTCTCAAAATGCAAATTTTGATTGAATAGCTCTGGGTGGGGCCTGAGATTAGGCATATCTGACAAGTTCCCAGGAGATACTGATGCCACTGGTCTGGGGATCACACTTTAAACAGTTCCAAGAGACAGTAAGAATGAGAACTTTCAATCTTTCAGTTTCTTGTCTGTGATTAGAGTCTCTAGACTATAGACCCGCTTAAATTAGATTTGTTTCTAGCTGTGGGAAAGAGAAAACCCAAATGACTTTGGATTCAAGCAAGCCAAGGAGAGAGATTGTAGGTCTCACCCCATAAGAATTCCAGGGTAGGCTGCTCAGGTCATTCCTTACCATCCAGGTTCTTTCCATCTCTCTGTTCCTCCACCCTAGTGTGTGGGCATTTATCCTCATGCCTGTGGTCTCATAGTTGCAAGATAGCTGCTGTACCTCTTGGTATCACATCTGAATTCCAGACAGGAAGAAGAGGGGAGGGTCAAGGTGCATGCCCTTTAAGGTTGCCCATGACCCACTTACCAACGTGTGCTTCTCACTGCTTAGAGCTGGGTCATAGGACCAATCTCATTTAGGGATCCCATGTCTGTGCACCTACTATGTGGCAGGCACTGGGCTAAGTACTAGAGGTACAAGGACAAACATAGTTTCTGTCCTCAGGAAGCTTCTAGAGGAGCTTCAGACGTGTAAAGAAGCAAACAGTGAAGAGAGGTGCTCGGATAGCTGCGGTGCATGGGGCAGACAGAAGACTGGGTTAGCCACATCCATCTGGGAGACCCAGGGCTGTGGCCAGCAAAGAGAAGGTGAAGAGCTGAGTCTTGTCTAAGGGTTGGGAGGACAGCTGGCCCTGTGGGGGCAGCATGGGCTCAGCACAGAGACATGCGGCAGCCTGGCGCCTCCTGGGAACTGCATATCCACTCACACCTCTGTTGGAACTGCCTCAGGGCTGGGATCCAGCCTTCATACACCTGTAGGCAACACAGGTGGTTTTCACCTGGCATATATTCGAGGTTTTAAATATTTTTAATGTCACCCCTTGAAAAACCATGGAAGTCTCAAAATGTCCAGGTCCTAGAGAGGACCATAACTAGACCTCCTGCCTTATACTGTGGACTGCCTCTTGCACAGTCCTCTTGCTCCCTCTCTCATGGGTGTATAGTGAGCCCTCCCTCTTTGAGTGGCTCACAGTCTTTTCTCCCCTAGATCGTTTCTTCTGAGCATCCTCATGATGGCAGGTCAGCGACACAGGGTTTATTGGCAGCTGCTTGCACAGAGCACTGTGGTCTCCTCTGCAACCCAGGCCCGGGCACCCTTCAGGCACTGGCTACTTCCTGCTACTCTTTTTCCCCCCGCAGGACCCCCCAGGAACACCTCTCATGCACTGCTCAGGCCTTGGGATCTATCTCTCTCTCCTCTCCCTTTTTCAGAACCATCTTTTCCTTCTAGCTGACCTCTTGGAAGAGTCTGATGAATGAATTCATGATAGAAGTTAACGGCAGCCAAAGGCTCTCTGGGTTTCTCTCCCTGGGGACTGGCATTTAACAAAGACAGTTAGGCCTAGTGCAGAGTCTACAGGATTGGAATCCAAAGATCGGTGTTCCTGGCTGAGTCTGTCCACTAGAGCGCTGTGATGGCTGGACTGAGTCCACCACTCAGCTCTGTGTCTTCTCCTGTGATATGGGAATAACAAACTTTGCTGCCAGCTCTGAGCCTTTTTGTAAGATGGGGCACTGTGCCTTTGCCCAGCAGAGCAGCGCCTTTCGGATGGGGACTGGGAGGAGGGGACCTCTCATCAGCCCAGATGGAGACCAGGAGGTGAGCGCTTGCACAGCTGAGGGTGAGGTCGCCAGACCCGGAGGGGAAGGAAAGGCTCTCCTGAAAGGTGAAGGAGTGTGATGATGGGCCTGCTCCCATTCCTCCCCCCAACACCTCATTTATATCCAAGTTGTTCTCAGCTCTAACCCTTGAGAAAGGCGGTGGAGCCGTCTGGCGCGCCTGCCACGAAGGGTTAGGTAAATAAGCACATGGCTCCTAGGGGAATGTGTCTGCTGCCGCCTCCGCCCTCCCTGCAGCAGTCTCAGCAGATTTACAGGCCTCCCGTCAACGAAGCATGTGCCACTTCACTTTCACTCCGGATCACCAGGGGGAGGGCGTGCCTAAAGGCCCAGTTTTCCTGCCCTGTGATGTCCCAGGGCAGCCTTGAGCTCTGAAACACCAGGACCTGGCCCCAGGTGTTACAGGCAGAGCCCCCTTCTAGCTTCTCCAGCCCCCGCTTCAAGCCCAGGCACTGTCAGAGGCTCCCAGAATCCCCAACCTTCTAGGCACCAGCTCTTGTTCTTACACAGGGTTGCATTAGGGTCTGGGGGCCAGTGTCCATGTAAGATGTACAGGAAGTTCTGTTCTCCTTTCAGACTTGGCTACTACATTCGCCAACCCATTGTTGCTGAGCAGCCTCCTGGTGCAGGCCCTGGGGAGATAGGGGGGTTGGATGTGTCATCTGTATGCAGGTAGGTTCTGGGATGGAAGGAGAGTCAATACAAAAGCACCATACTCTGTTATGGATTTGTAAAAGGCCCCAACGATCAGTTCCCTAAGGAGTCAGATCTAGGAGAGATTTCCCCTTCCGGCAGACAAAGAGAACTATGTGAGTGATTTATGCTTACTATTGCCGTGGTTCTCAGGAAAAGTAGTGCAAAATCAATGCTTGGGTGCAGTCCCTCTTAGCTTGGATGTTTCACATATCTCCTCCCTTTACTGCATGTGTATGCATTTACTGGGGTGGAGAGCCTTATTGAGCACTCACTGCATGCCTGGCACCATGCTAGATGCTGGGATGCAGTTATAAATGAGACAAAATAAGACAAGATGCAGGCTCTCCAAGAGCTCACAGTCATGTAGTAGACACCCCAAAGCAAGCAGTTATAAAACAAGGAGAGTGCTGTAATGAAGTGTGTACAGGTGCTCTGGGTGCAGATAGGAGACAGAGCCTAATCCACCTAGGGGTGGAGTTGTCTTCAACTCCAAATTTTTATGAGTCTTCCTAGACATTCCCAAACCCTAGATAGCAGGTCAGGCCAGTTCTTGAGTCAGAGGGGCTCAGGATTAATAAAGTGGGCATAATATTTGCATCTCTATAGAGGCAGAATGGAAAAGAAACCTGTCCAAGTAAGAACGTTACTGTGCTTTGTGATGTCTTATATGGGATATCACTTTAAACATCTCACATTTTACTAAAACCCTGTGTGCCTCACTAACACTAGCTATTGATAGTTCACATATTTTATTTCATGAGGTAGCAGGGCAGGCATGATAGCTCTGATTTACAGGTGAGAACTCTAAGGCCAGAGGGATAAAGTGAAAGTCACCTAGCTGTAAGCAGAACCGAGGCCATACGTCTTTGTATTTGCTGACTCTGGGCCAGAATGCTTTTCTCTGCATTGCACCAAAGCTACCACCACCCAGCCGTAGGCAGGAGACCCTCCCACCTCGCTGTACAACTCCTGGCTGATGGAGAGGATCCTGAGTGTATCTTAGGAGAGTGTCATAAAAATCACTGATGATATGATAATGGAACAGAATAAAAGGAACAGAGTAGAAAGGCTCCTCCCTCCCCCCACCCAGTGTCTCTAGGAGAGGGCCGGAAGGAGCTGTGTGTGTGTGGGAAGAGGCCACCAGGTAGGCACCTGGGAGGCCCTTCAGCGACCCTGTTTGGCCTGACAGTCAGCTTTGGGCAATAGGGAGACTGAAGAATGCCTCCTTGAGCTGGTGTTATGAAGCAACAGGCATCACACTTCCAATTTTCATGTACGGGCACCTGGCAGTGTAAAAATCAGAACTTTTTTGAAATGAAAAACACAAGTTGAAAGTTATATTTTGCCCCTGTTCTATTCAGGAATCCTGGTTTCTAGGCGCTCTGTCATGCCAATAGCATGGTTAAAGAACCATTGTTCTGGAACTTTTCCCTCTACACATAAACATTTTTGCCATGAGGAAAAGGGAGACTGGGCTTTGAAGTGCAAAAGTTTGACAAGATGAAAAAGAACAAAAAATAACAACAAAACAAAACAAAAAACTGGACGCAGCGCTAAAATACAAAGTCTTCAGGCTCTTCCCTGGTGCGAACTGTCTGGTGCCCATCCTCCAAAGTTCCAGGTATAGAATAAAGTCTATCTGTGAAACTGAGACCGGAGTGCTTCCCTTCCAGCTGGGCTGTGGAAGGAGCCAGAAACGTACTGGGTTTAGGATTCTGGGGTCTTATTTATATCCCCACTCCCCATTTGTCCTTGAGACAGTTGTGTCCCCGGCATAGCCTAAGAGGCCTCTTTCTAAAGCAGTAAGACCATTCGGATGTGGGGTGGGGAGCTGGGGACTGTGGGTGATCAAAGCCAACCAGGATCAACCAGACATATAGGCCAGGGCCTCTCATGAATGGATTTGTGACATTTACTCCTTACTTAAGACTCCAGGACTGGTGGAGGTATGTCACCTGGATGGATTTCCAGAATTGTAGTGGTGAACAGACTCAAGTTCTCCCACCATTTGGGGGAAACTGTGCAAACATGAGCGGGAGGTCAGCCAAGCCTGGATTCAGAGGTGAGAGGATGTTATTTACCAACACAACTCTTTCTAAGGAGCGAGTAAACAGACACATTTGGCTTGGGACTGAGGGCCTGGCTGGAGGAGAGAAAAGGACCCCCTACCAAACAGCATTTTTCTCTAAATGCCCCTTGAATTGAGACACAGTTGCCGGGTCTCCTGCGGTCTATTCTCTGTGAGGAATGTCTTCCCCAGCTTCTCCGCTGAGCTCTACCAATTGTTTAGGGGTTAACCCTTTGCCGTCCAAACTCTTGCTTTATCTCTCTCCGTCTCTTTCCCTCCATCTGCTCCTCTCTCGCTTTGGTGTACCTCTCATTAGCCTAGAAATGACAGAGAATTTGAGCTTGCAGATGGGTTTTGTGTGCGCAGTGGAATCACAGTCTCCATACCGGCACGAGTGCTTTAAGGAAACAGTTGCTTCTTCACAAACTCAAGTAGCTTTGCTTGGAATCTGTCCATCAAAAAATTTGGTCTGCAGAATCCAAAGCCAGCTTCCCTGGAGCCTTACAAACAAGCTGGCTGGCAAGGCAGCGCCTCCTACAGTGTCTGCCTTAAGCAATAAGATCTGTGGCCCATTTGCCACATGGGGCGGTGCCATACAACTCAGTTGTGGGGTTTTCAGCATCCTTTGCTTCCTTTCACCCACACTTCAGGGCACCCGCAGCCCAGACCCAGCAAACTTCATAAACTGCTTGCTGTTGTCTCCTGCCCTTGGGGTCAGTCATAGTCCCAGTCCCAGCTATCTGAATGTTTGAAACATACAAAGAATTCCCAGGAACTCTGAGGTGGAGGGTGGCAGGGGGACTTCTGTT